CATTAGAGATAATACATAATAGTATAAATAATTATTTTAATAATAATAATAATAATAATAAATAATATAATAAGATTAAATAATAATAATAAATAACACCATGTATATGTAATTAAAAACACAATAATAAAAATAGTATTTTTAATAATAATAATAATAGATTAAACCATGTATTAAGATACAACTAGTACAAATAAAATGATAAACACCATGTTAATGTTATTACAGAAAAACCTACTACTACTACTACTACTAATAATAATAATAATAATAATAATAAGAAGAAGAAGAAGAAGAAGAAGAAGAATAGTAAGTAGATAATAAAGAAAAACATAATAATAAATAATAATAATAATATAAAATAAAATAAAAATGGCCGCTATTATTAGTATTATTATTTTATTAGTATTTTTAAACATATATTCATAGATCATAAATTATATTAACAGCCAATGCCATTGTTAAATTGTTTTCAAATCTATTAATAAATAAACAATTTAAATATTTCCGATAATTAATAAAAAATAATTATATATTATTATTGTTGTTACAGCTAAATAATTTAATATATAATAATAATAATAATTATTATTATTATTATTATAATTATAATAATTATAATACAATCAACTTTATATACTTTATCAAAGACAAACATATTACTACTACTGGTATTACTGTTAAATAATTTTGTGCAATAATAATCATCATCATCATAATAATATGAATAATTAATGATATATACTTTATTAAAGTATTATTTTATTATTGATATTATTATTATTATTATTAGTATAGTTTGATAAAAGAAAAATGGCAGGTATTAATAGTTATTAGTTATAGTAATTAATTAAGTTTAGTTATTAATATTAAATATTTTAATCATAATGATTATCAACTGAATGTGATTTTTTTTTTTTTTTTTTATCGAAATCATTCATTTATTTTCTTTCGGATTTGTCCCTTTATTTATCAGGGGTCGCCATAGCGGAATGAACTGCCAACTTATCCAGCATATGTTTTATGCAGGACATATGTTTTATACCCTTCCAGCCACAACCTAGTAATGGGAAACACCCATACACTCTCACATTTTCACACATACACTACGGACAATTTAGCTTATTCAGTTCACCTATAGCGCAAGACTTTGGGGGAAATTGGTGCACCTTGAGGAAATCCACGCAAACATGGAGAAAACATGCAAACTCCACACAGAAACACCGCTAACCACTAAACCACCGTGTTGCCCGTTTGATTAATGAACGGAATAAATATTTTGATCATTACAATTATTATCATTATTATTATTATTATTATACAACTTAAATTTAAACTAGTTGATTATAGAAGAAACTATGGTGGTTGTTGCAGGAGCAATATCAAAAGCGTCAAGAATCCAAGCCAGTTGTGTCTGTTCACCTTCCTGTCAGTGGTTTGAACAGTGTTTAACAATGTTTATCTGTTGTTGTGATGTGTGATGGCTGGCTAATTATCATCAGCACAAGTGCGTAACACGTGTTTCTTCAGAGAGAGCTCAGATCATCTGTGTGTCTTTGACAGAAGCGCAGTTCCCAGAGGATCTCCTTCAGGACAGCTCTGTCTTTGATCTCTGTTGTGCTGTTCCCAATCTCACAGCGCTTCTCTGTGATGGCATGTTGATCAGGCTCACAGACGCATCCTACATAAATAGCAATCTGTACTTTAGTCAACATTTGAAGTATCTATAAAATTGTATTCAGAAATGAACATGTACCTGACATTGGAGGAAAAAAGGGTGTATTAAAGCGTACTCATTTTACTTCTTTTTCAAGATTTAATACAAGTCTTTTGTGTCTCCAGAAGGTGTCAGTAAAGTTTCAGCTCAAACTCAAAATACCCATCAGAGTATTTATTATACCTTTTTAAATCTGGGAAGTTTGAGCTGTTATGACAATGTAGCTGTTTTTGTTGCCTATGCCTTTAATGCAAATGAGCTGGTTCTCCCCGCCCATCGTTTCAACATGCGTATCAGAGCTGTAGTCTTCACGTAGATAAACAGCACAGTAACAGACAGGAATTAAGCAGACCTCCTTTACTACAATAAGAACTTTCCCAACTTTTATTTGATATATTTGTTGTGGAGTTAATTTAAGCCTTTCTGCAACAATGAGTCACACACAATGTCTTTAGCGCACACACTTGTGCACACACACTTACACACGTTTAGCTTTGCATTGTTTTTGCGAGGCAAATGTGACAGGATGCACGTTAATATCCACTGCTGTATGGACATCTGTTATGTTAATGTACAAAGTAAACCTGGTTTAAGTCCACAAACCAGGATTGAAGCGACTTCTTTTATAATTGTACTGATACTATGCGGCTGTGGTTGAAATACCTAGCGATTTTACTGTATTTATTACAAACATGCTTGGTTTTAAAAACGTTTTCAACTTTTTAAACTCATAAAAACGTTTTAAACTCATTCTTGATCACATTTGATGATGATTGATGATCACAAAGCGCTGAAAGCGCAGTTGCTTTGTGCACGTCCTGTCTTGTTGTTAAGATTATACATGTTACTACGGAAACATGTTAATACGCGTCTGTCAATCAATTCGATTAGCTTGGAAATTGCACTTCTCGCGTGGGCCTCAATATGGGAGGGATTTGGATCCTGTTTTAAAATCAGGAAATTAGGGAAAAAAGAGACTTATTGGGTTTATATCACCCAAATATGACCGTGGACACACTATACCTGCACACCAGGCCCTGCTGAGACTTTCAAAGAGCCATGTGCAGTTTGACAAAAGTCTTGAAAAATGTTGGTTAAGAATTGTTTGATTCTAAAATATTTAAAACCGTACACTCAAAGTCCTTTAAGGCAAGTCATTTCACTCAGCGGCCATCTTAGAAACACCTCGCACAGTATGCTTGGAGATTCTGTTTGAATAGGGAAACAACAAATTCTCCAAACCTGTTTGCTAAGCTTATGATTACATTTCATGTAAATTCTGGTTGTAGTACTGTAGTTTAAGTACTGTAACACCATACTTTGTTTTCGTCTGGACAAACAGCCGATCCATGTAGAGGAAGCCTGTGTTCTTGTGGACAGGGCCTTAGACTGTCCTGTATTTTTTTAGTGAAATGCTAATAGTCAAATTTGATTAAGTGATTTATGCTAAGCTAAGCTAAAAGTGCTTCTGCCAGTCCTAGAGATCGGCTGAATGCAATCAAAAATTGTAAAACTCAACATCTTAACCTTAGAAACTTAAAGGAGTGTTCATTTTGGCTGCATTTACATTGCAGATCTTGATGGTCAATTCTGATCTTGTGACTGTATCTGATTTTTTTGCTGACCTGCTTACATCATCTTTTAAAAGTGACTCGCATCTGATTGCCTGCTTTTACACTGCACACAGCAAAGACGCAGGAAAAAGTAGCGGGCGGGCTGATGATTAAAGAGCACTCTTTTCTCCATTTCTGTTTTTAATCTGTTGACTGGCTTTAATTTATTGACAATAGTTTATGACAGAAAAGCTCTCATTTGACCATCTTCTTTTAATCTTAGACATTTCAAAGCAGTAGGCACCTAAATGTTACGAGTGTGATTTATGTATGTGATGTATGCAACAGTTTTATATCAGTTTATGGTTACGCGGCGGATGTTGCGCTCTCATGCTCTCTCTCTCTCTCTCTCGTTAACATGCTTAAATATGTGTGCTATGTAATAATATAAAAGCGTATTTAGTCCTTGTGTATGAGATTTATGGTTTGGGGCTCTGCTGAAGTCTCTGAAGGCTCTGCTTATCTGATCTGTGCCACATGGGAGAAAAAAATCGTAATTGAGTCGCTTGAACAGTGCAGTGTAAATGCGGCCTTTAAATCTGACAGTAACTTGTGCAGTACTCGCATGCTGTTTGTGCTTCTCTTTTTCTCAGTGCACAAACAGACTTCTGTGCATGTGCTTGTGCTTCAGTGGATAGGCTCATGTCAAGTAACATCAAAATAGCTCTTTTTAAAAACAAAGTCAGTTATGTCTAAGTGATTATTGAGCAAAACATTTTATAAAAGTTTTTTATTAAAAATTCTGTTATTAATTACTCACCCTCATGTTGATCCAATCACCAGAGACCTTTGTTCAACTTCAGAACACAAATAAAGATATTTTTGAATGAAATCTGAGAGCTCTCTCGTCCTCCATAGACAGCAAAAGTCCAGAAATGTACTAGAAAACAATGTCAAACAGACCATAAAAACGTAAAGGAGATTTTAGCTGAAACCATTGCCCTCTGGTGCCCATATCATGGAGGTCGGTGGATCACTTTGAGAGTAGAAAGACACATTCACAACTAGTTATTATTATTACACATGCAGCTCCTGACGATGTGCTGTGGTCTTATGTGATTTCATGCATTTGAATACACAGTTATGTGACAAGATGTTTGTAGTGCATACTCTAGTGCATACATTTACATTTTGGGGTGAACTATCCCTTTAAACTGCTGTTGTTTTATATATTTTCTTTTTTTTTTAAAACATTAATCAACAACAAAATACAAAATCCAGCTTGGTATTATCTGAGAAAAGTTAAACTCTGTTTTTATCTGTATAGTTGTTACGTTCTATTAATTTTTGTAATTTTAAGCACCTATCGGTTGTAAAATGCTCATTTGTTTGTGATTTATCGACACATTTGAACTTACACAAGTAGTTAGCCTAGTAGTTACTTCTCAATTCTAACACAGAGTAGCTAAATTTATTAGAACACAGTCCACTGGTAAAAATCCGTGCCATGCTTGAGGTTTTAACACAGCAAATGAAGAAATGAATTAGTAATTTTCATTAAGGCTGTGTCAATATTTATCAATATTTATATCTGTAGTATCAAAAATTCTATCTTGTATAAAATTGATATTTTGTTTAAGGTTTCATATTGAAGTTAGGAATTCCAGTAATGTGGACACATAAAGAATATTGTCACCTCATTGACACCCATTACCCTGTTTCTTTAACAGCTATTGAGACCCAGAGTACGAGTTCAGAAGAGATCGTCCCGAGCCCACCCTCTCCACCCCCTCCTCCTCGCATCTACAAGCCCTGCTTTGTGTGTCAGGACAAATCTTCAGGGTACCACTATGGCGTCAGTGCCTGTGAGGGCTGCAAGGTAAGACACTAGATTTAACTTCAAACAGCACCAAAGTAGCCCAAAAGTGAACTAGAAGTATCAATACTACCTTTGCTAAGTACTCTGCTTAAAAACATTTAGAGATGTTGAATGCCAATGCTGCTACTGCTTTTTAATGCATTGTATAAAGATACATGATTATTTGTTAAAAAAAAATCACCTTCAATCTTAATTGTAATTGACTACAAGTCCTGAATGTTTATTAAATCAAAGCGGTACAGTCAAATCTACATTTGATCTTAAGAGAGAGAAGTCAACACTTATAGTTATAAAAAAGAGCTTCAGTATTATGTCAGCCAGTGTTATTGTTTTTGTTATGCACAATCAGATTGTCACAGGATAACTGGGACAACAGTTTATAATTGGATATAAACACTGCATTAGCAAAAAGCTCCAGGTACGTTTCAATGCATGTTGCAGATTGCAGATCCTCTAGAGGGCACTCTCTACACTTTTGAAAATTACAGATGTTTTTTTTTGGGGTACATTATCTTGTACGTTTCAGATACACATCTTTTTCGTACCTGTTCACGAGAAAACAGGACATGTCATACAGATCAGCAGAGTTACAAGCAGAGATGCTACTAGCTTAACTACATTTCCCAGTAGCGTGGCGGTAGCGTCGCTACTTTGTAAATTCAATAGCTTTTATAAGTAGCGGATCAATAATTAACAGCACTGACATTCATGGAGCTGTGAGGCCGGTGTCTAGCCTATGAAAGTAAAACCATACGGTGGCCAGAATGATGATTTTTTTCTTCTTCCTGTTTTACGGTGGTCGACAACAATATTTTTACTCAAATTAATTTGCTGTGGTATTTTTAAATTTATGTTTAATTTATTTGGCAACCCCAGATTAATAAAGGGACTATGCCGACAAGAAAATGAATGAATTAATATAAATATAGTTGATACTACATTATGTAGTGTAATTCATTAATAAAGTGTTGTAAATATATATACAATACAATGCTTATTCCTAAATATTTCCCTTTACGATAAATTACTATAGTATTTTAAATGGGTGACACTTGGTTTTATTATAGTTTATGCTTTTGCTGTTATATACTACATTTTGTTTCTGTTTAGTATAGCGTATTTATTTGCAGTAAAAATTGCAGTAACTAAAAAATTATGCCTCATATGTTTCATTGGCATTTTTATTAAGCACTTAGTTAAGATTGAGTTGGATTCAAGTTGCTTTTATTTAAAAATCTAAATTGCAAAAAATGGCTTAGATGTAGCTAGGCTACTTTTGCCAAGTAGTTTTTGGCTTAACTTGCTACATTTTCCAGAGGGTAAAGTTTAGTGTAGTTAAGCTACATTTTATGTAGAGTAGCTAATAGCTTAGCTCACTACATTTTTGAAGTAATTTGCCCAACACTGCAGATCACCCAGCAAACCATTGACCTGAACCCTTTGCTAATCCCCACCAATAGTGTTTTTAAAAGTGAACATCAGAGGCAACGTAGTTTTACTAGTTTTTAGTTATCCTTTGTGGAACCACACTTCATCGGAAGTTCCCAAGGACAACACCATACAAAGAGAGCTATCGAGCAAACTGACCACACCAAAAATTGTCTGTATTGAGTTAAATTGGTGAGGCAAATGTATTCAATTACAAGGTATTTTTGGTGTTGTGCAAAGAACTGCACAACAATATATTTTATTTGTCAATAGTATCATTAGTGTAAAAATACACTATAAAAAATTTTTTTATATTTTTTTTTTTTAGAAACTGCACTCAAACGTATGTTGAAGTGCATTTTTGCATATTTCACATGAGCCTGTGAGCCTGTGAGCCTGGCTTTTACTGTTAGTACAGAAATTATTAAAATCAACTTTTGAAAGCATTAAAATACTTTAATTAACTATAATATAACTTTAACTTTTTATAGTTAAAGTAATAACTATAACTTTAATGCTTCCAATTAACTATAAATTTTTACTTTTTTATATTATGAAGCTACAGGTTTAAAAACACCTGGACCGTGTGGTGAAATGAAATAGAATCATCCTATTCAACCAGTTTGCTGTCCTGACCCTTCTTTACTTTAGATACTGTTATAAAGGGATTGCTCTTTTAAATGCCCTCTTTTTCTCACAGTGTGAGACAGATTGCTAACCTTTCTCATGTGTAGAGCACACAGGAATCAATAGGTCTGGATGAGACGTATGAATGTTAAAACCATTAAGGGATTACCTTCAGCAAGCTGGCTGAATTAACCTGCCTGCATGTGTCCTCGTTTTTTTTTTTCTTCTTTTATTTATTTATTTATTTATTTTTTTTTTGCTAAGTTTCGTCTTTAGTGGTCTACACATGTAATGTAAATCATTTTTGTGCTAATAATTGGTCCACATGGTGGCAATACTGGAGTGGGATGATATTTCAAAAACAAAAACAAACTACTGAAGACAGCAAAATCAATATGCAACTGTGCCTCAGCACTTATATAAGAAGTTTTCTACATAAGAGGTAAATAACTTTGTGCACACAATCAAATGTAATATACTTCATAAAGATACACACAAAGCATACACTCTAAGCCATAACTGAAACGATAGCTCATAATACTCTAATTTTAACTGAAGAAAATGCCACATTTTATGAGCTATGTGCATTGATCAGTGCTTATGTGTGAACAGGTGTCTAAATAATGGTACATTTTTAAAGTAGTTGTGTCTCTTCAGAAGAATTGCATTACTTTACAAGTCTCTTTATGGACCTTTTAATGTAAGTTTTGTTGGTCGTTTTATTTTAAGGTACAATTCACTGTATTAATAAGCCATTAGCTATGACTTTTGCCTTCTAATTTACAGTTTGTTATGGTAGGAGTAGGATTTAGATATTGAATATGATTAGAGATGTAGAATAAGATCATGCAGTCTATGTACATTATACAGTTGAAGTCAGAATTATTAGCCTCATTTAGATTTTTTTTTCTTTCTTAAATATTTCCCAAATGAGGTTTAACAGAGCAATTAAATTTTTACAGTATGTCTGATACTGTTTTTTCTTCTGAAGAAAGTCTTATTTTTTTTATTTCGGCTAGAATAAAACCAGTTTAAAGTTTTTAAAAGCCATTTTAAGGTCAAAATCATTAGCCCCTTCAAGCTAATTTTTCCCCGATAGTCTACAGAACAAACCATCGTTATACAATAACTTGCCTATTTACCCTAACCTGCCTAGTTAACCTAATTAACCTAGTTAAGCCTTTAAATGTCACTTGCCTTAATAATAGGCAGTTAATAAGCCACTTGTTAATAATGAGAAGTGGAACATAAACAATGGTGTTATCGTTTTGTTTTATTTGCTTATACATGTCAAACCAACATTATTTTTTTATTTATTTTTTATTTTTTTTGGTGGGACACCAAACCACAGGGTAATATTATCTTCTTTGTTTACTTAATTTTTAGGGAACCGAGCCACTCCAAGACATTAAAACACTGTTATACTGAGCTGCTCATGTGAAAGAGCACAATGCTACACGTCATATAGCATTTTTATGTGATTGCAATACAGTTTTTTCCACTTGATTAACCGAAAGTGATTTTCATTCACATTTTGTAGAGTAAAGTTGGCTCTGTAATCAGCAGTAAATCTCCAGCACCTGCTTTCAGATGGAGCAGTATTTAAAGGGCCATGAAACCCCCCTCTTTTGGTTCAAGTCTACCTCAGACTTTTTTAAAAAAATGCTTCATGTGTGGCTTAACATTGTCTTAACGGATGCTCAACACACACAAATCTCTTAAAACATTTTTTAAAAGTACTTTTTCTTGAACCTTTGATACACACAGCCATATAGTACACAAAAAAAATCATGGACGCGATCCTGAAATCCAAGATAATCATTCTATGGTTTAAAAGGTGTTTGCATCACTTCTTTGTGACCTACAGCCCAGATGTTTTTACACCAAAAAGCACATGAAAATACCACATGTGATAACGTGTGTTTACTTTAAACACATAATGTCAGCTGAGATTTTGAAATATCTGAATCATTTTTTAAAATAAAGCATAGTCATATGTTTATTTGTCATGTTAAATCCTTAAAAGAAGTTGAATCAAAGTAAATAGATGATGGAAATCATTAGCTGAAAAGGAGTAATGGCTAATGCTAACACCAGGAAGCAGACAAGAGGCGAATCTTCAACATGGCTTGCACTAAACAACACGCTTATGTTTAATCAAATGTATAATTGACCCTAATAAAAAAAATATATATTTTTAAGAGAGGATAGGGTAGGGAATGCTGCATCAGGTAGGTCTGTCAACTGTGAATGCTGACCAGGGACGTTAATGTTGTTACATGATTGGCTGAGGTGCCTTGTGGAATCCATGTTAGCTGCATTTTTAATAGTGAGTAAAACACAGATTTCCATTTCCATATAGTTTAGAAAATCTCTTGTTAAATCTGCTCTTGATTTCCTGTGTCTCTTCATTGTGGCATACTTGCAGTTTTTTTCTGCACTAGAGTGCCCTCTGGCCTTCGGAGGAATTTAATCAACCAATGCTAAACCACTAAGTCCAATGAATTCTAAAATATGACTAAAACTAAATGGCATTTTAGTCAAAATGAAATGTAAATCTGCTGTCAAAATGAACACTGCCTGTGTATAACACTGTTTTATCAACCAGCGGCATGTCTCGAAGCCAGTCTCACAGTCTTCATGGTGTTGTTTGTGTTCAGGGTTTCTTCAGGCGAAGCATTCAGAAGAATATGGTGTACACGTGCCACCGAGAGAAGAACTGCATCATCAACAAAGTCACCCGCAACCGCTGTCAATACTGCCGGCTGCAGAAGTGCCTGGAAGTGGGGATGTCCAAAGAATGTGAGTGATGCATCAAAATTACTCCCTTCACAGCTGTAGCACCATTGCCAAAATATGAAATGGATATGAAATAGTAAGAGTTATGAGTAAACATACTTATACAGAGAATCAGGGGCTCCCTCTGGCTATACGAGCACACGTCTCCACACTGCTAGGCGCTGTCAGACTTGAGAAGTTAATTGGGAGAGGTGAGAAAATACAAACACAGGCACACACACATACACGCTCAAACACACACCCACAGGTCGACAGGAAAAGTGAATTTGTGTGTGTTTAGAAATCTTCCTGACACATTCTCACTAGCAAGTGGATATGAATCTGCACTGCAGAGAGGCACACAAATGGTGTGTTTTATGGAGGTAGAGGAAAGAACCAGTAAGATTCACTTTGGTGACAGATCTTAGCTGTGTGTGTGTGTGTTTTACATTAATTTTTACATTATTATTTTGTGTGTGTATATATATATATATATATATATATATATATATATATATATATATATATATATATACATATAATGTATGTATAATGCCTGGTTCAAGTTCTGGCTGGACCAGTTGGCATTTTGTGTGAAGAGTTTGCATGTTCTTCCCGTGTTCATGTGGGTTTCCTCTGGGTGATCCAGTTTCCGCCACAGTCCAAAGACATCCTCTATAGGTGAATTGGATGAACTAAATTGGCCTTAGTGTATGAGTGTGTGTGTGAATTTGAGAGTGTTTGTGTGTATTCTGGGTTGCAGCTGGAAAGGCATCCTCTAAGTAAAACATAAGCTAGATAATTTGGTGGTTCATTCCGCTGTGGTCACCCCTGATAAATAAAGGACAAGGCCGAAAAAACAGTTACAAAAAAAACAACAACTTGCATTACAAACAACTAAATTACAAAATAAACGACAAAAAATCTTATAAAAAATTTTTACCAAAAGCACACAAATTTACAAAAGATAATCTAAAAATAAGAATTAATTGAAACTAATAATTCTGAGTTACTTAATAATACATAAATAAAAGAAGGGAATGTTTAAGACTGTATAGTTAATTAATTAGTTCAAAATTATTAGTTTATTTAAGACTTTTATGTTGAATAATTTTTTTATTTGTGAATTAGAAAACAAAAACAGTCAGTATTGTGTATAATCTGTAACTCCCTCAAAACTATTTTGTTTCTGCTGTAAACTAAAACCCATTGTAGGTTTTATTAACATAGAGTTGTATAATTAATCTATTAATCTCTAATCAACGGTGACCGAGCGAGTTTAACGTGCTGCAGTTTAAGAAAACCTGTGCATTTACAAAGACGCCAGCAATTTGAGAAAAGGTCTTCATTCGCTTGACAGTGCACATGCTGCAAATCCTCACATCACAAGCACAATTTTTCACAATGCAAACAAATGAATTAAAATTTAAGGCTAATATAAAAGACAAGGGAATCGGGATATTAAAATAAACAAACAGAACACTCACCTTTCAAAGATTACCTACAACTTCACTGAGCAACACTCACAGCAGATCGGAATCCATCATGTTTTTGGGTCTCCTTGAAACATGTCTGTTGTGTACCATTCTTTTTGCAAGTGCTGTGAGAAAATGCAGCGCGTTTTCATAAATGGTTTGTGTTGTGAGAAAATGCAGCACGTTTCATTAATTTGTTTGTGTTGTGGGAAAATGCAGTGTATTTTTTTAAAAATGTGTTTGCATTGTGAGGATTTGCAGCATGTGTACTGTCAAACGGATGAAGATCTTCTCTTAGCTGGTGTTTTTTGTAATTGCGTGTGCTTTCTTGAATTGCAGCACGTTTAGCTATTGGCCACTGTACTAATCTCTAAATGTACTATTTACCATTAAAATGGCTCTTAAAGCAGTTTTATATAAACTTTTGCATGATGTAATTTAGTTTTTTTTTTTCTCCAATTCGTTATTGATATATAAACATATATAAATATTGGTCACACTTTACAGTAAGGTTCCATTAGTTCATGCATTTACTAACATAAACTAAGTATGAACAATAATTAATTGTTGTTATTTTAATATTAATCCTAGTTAAAATTTAAATTCATACTAGTTTACATTAGTTAATGTAGTATATGAGTTAATATGAACTATAAAATTCATACTGGTTTACATTAGTAATGCACTATGAGTTAACAAACTATAAATTTATACTGGTTTACATTAGTTACTGCACTAATGCCGAGTTCAGACTGCATGATTTTCAAACTAGTCGTGTCACAGATGTTTTCTGACATGCAGAGTCACTGCATGACTATCTGGGCTAGCGTTTCGTCGCTGCTTTGTTTACACTGCAAGATGGTTCGGCGACATGGACATTCACATTGCATGACTTTACTATAGGGAGAATCGCCGACAACTTCGTCCAAACTACGTCTCACAGCCAAAAACATGTAGTATATCTTTTGTTATTTACTACATAATGAGAAAAAAGCCTTTAATGGGGTAGAACATGTACATGTTTGCTCATCTGGGTTTAAAGGGAATTAGCCATTTCTCCTCAACGTTGATAATAAACTAATTTCTTTCTGTATGAAACCTCAAACAGACACGGTTGCTCCTGAGTCCTGTCAAACCTCCACTAGTTTTTCCTCCATTTCGTGGGTCCAAATAAACCGAAAAAAAACGCTTTTAACTTCTTCCCCAGCCTCCCGCTAACCTGCAGCAGTTATACACACACGCACACACAAGTGAAAGCTGCTCATTGGCTGTAGACGATCGCTGATGTTATTTTCAGTCAAAACTCAATTCACACGGCATGATTTGAATCGCCGACAGCTCCAGATTTTTAGCATGCCAAATATCTCACAGGCATCGGCGACTCATCGGCGATTCTCTCAGATCGCGTCTTTGATCGTTCATACTGTGTGATTGTCACTCACGTGCACAAGCAGCGATTTGCCTGTGATTTCAGGCATTTGTCGGCGATTTCTCAAAACCTGTCGGCGAGCCAAAATCGGGGTTAAAATCACGCAGTCTGAACTAGGCATTAGTTAACATGAACTATAAAATTCATACTGGTTTACATTAGTAATGCACTATGAGTTAACAAACTATAAATTTATACTGGTTTACATTAGTTAATGCACTATGAGTTAATATGAACTACAAAATTCATAGTGGTTTACATTAGTTAATGCACTACGAGTATATATGCATTAACTAATACTATTTTATTATACTACAACCTTATTAAAGTGTTACATAAATACTATTGCACTAAATAGATTTTAAAATGATCAGTGTTTGAATTTGAAAGTTCCCCAAAATAAACTGAATGCACTTCATTGATTTGCGGTCGGTCTGTGTTTGTTCTTGACAGGACTTTGTAATTGCGTCAGTAATCATGTGTGTGTCAAGTTTGACGATACTGCCGGGTCTGACAGATTCATGCGCACAGGCCTCACAGGGTTTCACAGCAATACACACTCCTCCAGCAGGCATCATGGCAAGCTTGTTGTCGCCGGCGCAAATGACCCATCAAATCAGTCTCAGTGACACCACACACTCGTTTCATTAATGTGAGTTCATATGAATTCACACCTCTTGACTCGTAGTACATTTACAAAATGATGCACAGCGGCACTTTCACACTTGGCTTCCTGCATACATTTGAACGCACAAAACATCTGTAATAAAACACACACACACATTGATTTCCAACACATCACGCTGGGTTCACTCTGCTCCAAATGCATTAGACTCACAACTCATCTGCCGCTGCTGAGGAGGAGGTGAAGAGATCGTGGAAAAAAAGAGGAGTGGAGAGAGTGGGAGCGCAGGGAGGAAACATTGACATTTTTATCTTTTCATTGAATTTCATCTTTGTGATGGACGATCTGCCAGTGCTTTAATTTTCTCCTCTCAAATTATCCCTGTCAAGAGCATCACACACACACACACACAAACAAACACACACACTTAAACAGACATATGTGGGCAATAACCAAAAGGTTCACACTGTAGCAAAATTTCTATTATAAACATTTTAATTTGTATTGACATTTGTTAATGGATTTTTTTAAGACTAAACATTTGGCTTAAAATAGAACAAAGGTGTTTTAATTGCTTTCCCATTGCGCTGTGAATCATACTGTTACTCACATACAGTGTTTTGCATAAAAATATTAGTCACATATCCAATACCTTTATCAGACATCAATAAATAAAGCTATTTGCATCTGTTTAAAATTTGCAGTCATTTGAATACAACTTTCTAGTTGATAGTTCACCCAAAAATCTTTTAAATTCTGATGTTATTCAGTTACCCATGACTTGTTCCAAACCAGTTTGACTTTTTCGTTCTGTTGAACACAAAAGAAGATATTTTGAAGAATGTTACTAATGGTAACCATTGTCTTCCATAGTGGGAAAAACAAATACTGTGGATGTCAGGGGTTACAGGTTTCCAACATTCTTCAAAATATCTTCTTTTTTTGTTTAACAGGACAACAAAACTCAAACTGGTTTGTAACAGATAAAGGGTGAGTAAATGAACTTTCCCTTTAAGTATATGAAACACAACTGTGTATTTGGCATCTGTTTTCTTGTGTGTAAATATAATTTTTGTTTTCATCGTTACCAAATCCAGAGAGTAAAAAATCACGCAAAAAAGCTACTAAATAAGGCTATGTCTATACATGAAAATGATTGTGTTTGTTTCGTTTACGAATGCTAAAATTTGCATTCATAAACATATAGGTGTGAATGCAGCAATCGTACTCGAGTGCGCACCGAAAGCAGACCAAAAATAGCGCACCGAGACCTGCTTGAAGAGGTGGTCTCGTTACGCTTTCAAATTAATCCTGGAGCAGTTCGTTTGTGGTGAGAATATGATCCAAACTAAAACAGACCCAACCGCAAAATGTACTTCGCCTTTTGGACTAATCCAGCTGTCGTAGGCCGATTCACTGTGCATTATGGGATATGGAGGAAAAATATTTGTTGACAGAGCTTTACCAACAGAGAGAATGAGTGAGAGAAAAACAT